AAAAAAATATTCACTAAATTTGTTTCAGTGATGTATGAATACTGCGATTAGTAATTACTAGCACAAACAGCCGCCGGTAGACCGACGTTTCTGCTAGCAGTAATAAATCCACTAATAGAAAAATAAAATAACGTGATAAACAATACATGAATCATCATATTCTCAAGGGATGATCGTTTCTTAGCATATATAAACCTACATTTTGAATGGGCAGAAAAATGCTTTGAAAAAACTAAAAAAAAAAACGATAAATGAGTTGTATACAGGGGGGGATTCCTCAGTTAAAAAAAACGTTTTCTTGTGTTTAAATAGTTATTATTTTTATCTAAAGGCTGGAATATGATATGCACTCGACAGATGAAAGCGCTCACCCGCCGTGATAGAGACCTTTATTGCAACAACGTGGCTTCTGATGAATTAGTTCTATCGTCAATGTTGTTCGCACGTTCTCGTCATATCCTGAGACTAGTAGCTAAAACAAATAACTTCATTGAACTCGTCACGTAATTCATTAGAAATTATGCTACTGAAAGCAGCGATTTGTAGGCATTTTTATCTCCAACAATAACTAATTGTGAAGAAACTAAAATACTTCTGTAAAATGGACAACAATACACTGTTGTCATCCTTCGTCTCCATGCAGGAATGGTTTAATGAATCATTTGATTAATACCGCACGATATTTATAAAGTCTCCTGCAAACTAAGTGTGGATGTGATGTTGGTGCCCTGCGACATCTTTTTTGTTTCAAAAAATGATCTCTGAAGGACCGAGGAACAAAAAGACGAACTTAAAACATACAAGTTGCATCATACCAGTAAGTTTTTTGTTTTTCATGAAACTGGAAAGGAAGCCATAAAAATACCATCAAAACAATACACAATACAATGAAAACCTTTATATTTAGTATATCAGTCCCATACAAATCATGTCAATCGAGAAAAGTGTTTGCTTGTCGTGTTTACGACGAGAATAATTATTAATTCTGTAGTTAACAGAAGTGTTATTAAACTAAAAGTTGCTTGATAAACAGAAGCGTTATTAAACAAGTTGGTTGGAAACAGCTGGGGATAGATTATTCATAAAATATAGTTTTATAATAAAGGCAAGTTACAGTCTAAAAATACAACATATTGTTTGACTGTATGATATTACATTGCAACATGACACAGTGTACCTCTGTTGTTCCGAGTACCTTTATAAAGGAAGGCAAGCCTCAAAGATGTGCACACATTTACTTTTCTTCAAATCGTTGAATAATAAACAAGCAATATATGTTCTGTAGTGGAAACTCGTAGTACAAACAGGTAATAGCTAAAAAATAAAATCAATGCTAGTTTTACTTTATGGTGCGGAATAATCTTCAAACAACTGACGTTTCATGATGTAACCATACGCCGAAGTTACATTCCAATCATATATACGTGGTGGAGTAACTTACAAACAATGCATGTCAGGGTTAAGTCACAATAGATCTAAAATACACGTATTATTTTGGCTCCACAGACTAAAATGATACACTTTAAACAGTGTATTTCCTGGCGAAACCTTGCATGACGACACTATAAAACATATCAAAGAAGCGCGTACACAATTTGGCGTAGGATTTTAATTTCAGATAGATGATTGTAGCCAAGAAGGAATCTTAAGTTTTATGTCTGATTATTTAAAAGGTGAGGCATCTCGGAAAACTCCTGCGTACATGCTCTACGAATTTCAAACCATCAGTTCACCAAAGCTCAATATATCTCGTATTACTAGCAATTTACACTGTATCGTAATAATAATTACACAATTAGCACAAACGTTTAAACAAAGTATATTAATTACATAAATTTAACGATTTTCAAAGTGGCTCACGCTGTTAGTAAGGTATAACCCCAACCAGTTTTAATCAATAATTGTATAACTTCAACAATAATCAGGTTATTGCTAGTAAAATATGTAACTACAGTACAACAATATTTGTTGCTAACCAAATTACAACAATATACTGATTTTAAAACACTTTATGCTGTCCGTTACTACAGTAATCACATTAGTTCAGGTTGTCAGTAAAGATGATATTAATAGCTACAGTAATGTTTCAGCTTTATACGTTGAAACTATAAAACTAAGCTACCAGTGAGTGACAATTTGACATCCAACTAAACCAGATCAATAGCTTTTGATAAATACTACAGCTATGACGATTGTTCTGAATACAAACACCAACACAAAAACTGACGGTGTCTAATAACTGGACTTCAGAAGAAAGGCGAAATAAATAAAAAATATTAATTTTAAAAACAGATGACGTTAGAATTTAATAGAAAAGTCACTTTTTCAGCAAATAACAGCAACATGAACTGAGAAGAAAGGGGAGGGGAATTATAGTCACTTTGAAAATAGGTAACTTAGGAATAAAAATTTAATAAACCTACCTGTTCTTTTAGCTTGGAAATTTAGGTTAGCGCCATCTATGTAGACGTTCGGATAGACGAAAATCAGTGGTTTAGCCTGTTGTTTTAATCTTTACAAGATCTACATTACGTTTTTTCTCTGGCACCCAAACATGTGCTCTGTCTACTCTTGTTGTTTTACTTTTTATTTACCTCGAAGCTTTATAAACTTAATTTCAAAAGACCTTGAAAATCGAAATTATCAAACTTCGTGTATGGACGCCATTAGAAAGCCTGTCGCTTTCTCTTCAACGTAGTAGACTACCCTGTCCCTATGGGAGAAATCCCTTCATCCAACCGATTCTTTTGGATGTTTCCTCAACACTCATAGAAGCCCAGATTTATTCTTCTACTCCACCAATCTTTGATTTAATATCCTCATTACTTGGAGGATAAAAGCAGGGCCGCGAGTTTAGCACAATGCCATGGCAACCAGAGCTTCTAGCACTGCATGGGACAGGGTGAGGAAACAAAACAACTTACGCTAGAGATGAACGTAATCGCTCAAACGTTACTATCTGACTTCGAGTTAGTCCGATACTATCTATAAACGAGACTGGGGATGAAGTGCTCGAACTTCTACTGTGTATTCTATTATGGTTGCCAAGGAAACAGATCTAGCGCCAAAGATCAACACGCCGTTTCACAACACAGAGTGATACAAAAAAATCATCGAATTACCTCAAAGCATACATTGTAAGCAACATAACAAAATGAAAGACGTCTCAGTTAACCATTTCTAGTCTGTACGAAAAACACAAACAAAACAACAGTAAAATCAAACACTTTGGAAAGCACCAAATATGGCTGTACCCTAGAAAGACTGTATTATTCCGAGAAGTAGTAAGTGTTTAAATGCTGTTTGTTAAATGTTTTAAAGGACATACTGTTCATAACTGTGACACATATATAAAGAAGGTATTTTAATTTGTAAGTGATTTTGAAACATTAAATATTTTATTTTTAATACATTACCGTGCATTCCTGATGGCGTTGTGTTAGGTGCCGAATAACAGAATGTTGGCACTTTAGTTGATTCACGATTTTTTTTTCTTAATCCTACAATTATCAATGGGGGTTACGATTTTTTAATCCACATTTTCTAAGTTTTTTTTATACACCTAGCTGGACTTTTAAATTGTTGGTTACAGGGTCCGTAATAACCATATGAATCACACACAAAATATAAATAACACCATCTATATCTCGCTAATTATTTATTGAAGTGATACAGAGAATTACGAGTGATTTCACCAAATCTCTTGGATTAGTTTTTAACAATGAAAATTATCACGAACAAAAACAAGTGAATTCATATATAGTGCAATATGTTGGCCCAATCCGTAATAATCTGTATGTAAACAAGTGAATTAATATAGTGCAATATGTTGGCCCAATCCGTAATAATCTGTATGTAAACAAGTGAATTAATATAGTGCAATATGTTGGCCCAATCCGTAATAATCTGTATGTAAACAAGTG